GTTTTTAGTTATTAATTATAAATTTAAACGGTCTTAAAATTAATTTTCAATCGACTTCATAGTTACCGAATTTTCCTACCTTGTCAAAATTACCGGATCTTCCGTTACCGAATTTTCCGGACACCCTGTGTAGTGTGTACATTATTAGCACGTTTTTTTTAATACAAAAATAAAAACAATGTCATTGTTAATTGTTATGTTACAACACTGAGTTACACTTACAATTTCCTTGAAATTATTTTTCCAGAAACTGTCTTTAATAATCTTTCTTTTTTTTTAAATGGCTAGCTAAGCAATTGTCTTTTTTTGACAGATTTTTTTTTTAGATGTTATTGTTACCTCGTTGAAAAACTTTGATTTTTAAATTATTTTCGTTCTTTTCTCAAAAGTTAGCTTTCAAAATTAAATTTTACTTATTTAAATAATTGCACTTCTAATTTTTATTAATGATAATAAAATTAAACTATTTTTATTTATTAATAATCTTGTAGTTGAAAGTAAGAACAAACAAAACATTTTTATTTAAATATTTTCGTTATCTTTTTAAAATTTAAATGAAACTATTTAATAAAAAATATATTCCATTTTTCAATCACGAAATTATAAGTAAATAAAATTTGTTTGAATTAATTTTAATTTAAAATATAAATATTAAAATAAATAAATAGTAAAATTTTTACTATTTAAAATGTAAACAGTAAAATTAATTAATTAAACCATTTTTATTTATTTGAATAATTCCCTACTGTTTAAAAAAAAAAAAAAAAATCATTTCAGTTAATTTTTGGATCTTCTAAAAAATATATTTATGGTTTGAAAATTTTGGTAATTCTCATAAAGATATATTCTCATTAAATTTTAATAGAAACCATTTACATTTCATCACTAGTGAACATTAGGGATATATCATCACAGGAATGTTTATGCAAAAATGCTCTATTTTTTCCCAATAATTTGGTTATACATACTCAGATATTAAATATGTTATTTTTTTTTTAAGTTATCACATATTTTGGAATTGTAGAATCAGATTCCTACATTTTTTTTTAAATCTTAAATTTTGTGCAAGTTAAACATATAGAGGCTCCCAACCAAATATAACAACTGATGTATTTTGATTGGTTGTAAAACATTAATTAGGTGTCGTCAACTACGTCCGAAGGTACCGACCCAAATTTTGACCACCAGTTAACGCCATAAAATGTAAACATGTTTACGAGCCTCCCCACGTGACCAAGAGAACTAATAAAAACGAAACTTCGACGCGACTTGGTCAGTGGGCACTTAAAATATTGAAACCAATTCACTTGACTTCATTGGAAATCAACACAGCAAAGGAGACGAACTTTATCTTCAATACAACAACAAACTTTGTCAACCATCTCCAGGCTTAACGCTCACTCCCAGAAAATATTCCATTCCACAAGAAGAATCTCTGGTTAATGAGCGATAACTCTATAACAATCAGTGAGTCAAGAACAATACTTTTTTCTATTTAATACACAAAAAAACATCTGTTTAATTTTCCTATAAAAACAAAAATAACTAACTAAACCTTGTCATTTTCACACATACAGTACAGTAACACACACCAAAGAACTCTATTGTGTTTATCAACTTTTGCACTATATATTATGTATTTGTTGTGTTTATAAAAAATATTTATTGTTGAACAAATTCATAATTTCTTCAGATTATTTCTCTTGTTGTTGTCTTTGTTACATTTGATATTGTAAAAATTGTAGAGGGTCAGTTTTTATTTCTATTTATAACCACTACAAATTGGCTGACCTCACTATAGAATTTAGCCTATTTAAATGTTGATAGCTAATTTTTGTTTTTTTCTTGAGCAAATTTTAGTGATGAAAAACAGTATTCATTTAAATTCCATATGCGCAAGCTGCTAGTGGCCCATTGGCAGGATGTCGATGACAATGCCAGCAGTCCTCTGGTGGCAACCACCGGTGAGCATCTAGCAGGCCACCAGCAGTAAACGCTAGTGGCATGCCACCCAGTGGCAGATTGGTGGCTTGCGTGTAGAGTTAATACATGATATTTTAAGCAATATTCTTTCACTTTTTGCACATTTATATTTTTTTTTTGTGTGTGTGTAAGAATTCATTAACTGACTAAACTCTTCTTTTAACTAAACTGATTCAAGCTACAATTTAGTAAGAAATTTGTGAATAGTGAGAAGTACTAATGACAACAGAATCAATGGGCTTTCTTGGTAGGTGAGAAGATATTAGAAATGTATTAACAAGCTTATTCATACAGATTTTCTTTACTACTATTGCATACTCATACATTTATATTGTGAGTACTATTTTTGATCTTGAAATGTTGATCGAGGTGTTTAACATACCAAATTGTCACTGTTGTGAGAGAACTGTTAGCTATGGTGGAGTAACAGATAGCAGCTCAGATTAAGAAATCGGAGAGCCGAGTCAGTCATGTTTCAAAAGATACATGATCACCTAAGCATTTATCACACATGGTACATAACTGAATATACATATATCAGATTTAATAAAACAAACTGTACAAAATTCTAAAAGTAAACACTTTCCTGTCAAAATCCATCTTGCACATTTAATAATCTACTTTTGTCCATTGAATGCTGCTGCCATATTTAGTCTGGTGCTCCTGTTAATCATCTTGAGGTTCTTAACAAAATTCATAGAAGGATCTGTAATGTAACTGATCCTGACCTGGCACCTCGACTTCAGCCACTTTCTCATCAAGGTGGTGTTGCTTCCCTCTGTCTTTTCTGTAAGTATTTTCATGGCAACTGCTCTGACAAGCTTTTATCCCTGGTGTCCCAACTACATGAATTTAAGTGTGCTTCTAGATTGGCATCTAGGTCCCACCTGTTTACTGTTGAAATAGTTAAATGCAACCACCACTTCTACTCCACAGTGTCTTTTCTCACATTTCCACCTGTGGAACTCCCTTCTGTTTACTTGCTTCTCTGATACCTACAATCTTCAAAAATTTAAATGCAACATCAATTGCCATCTTCTACCTTCTTGAATCCTGTTCATCTTTTATCATTTCCTCAATCCAATCCTTCCTTTACTCAGTCTTTTCTCTTACTTTCACTCTCTGTAACCCCCTGTGTACTAGTGGTATTTCTGTGTTGCTTGGGGTGAAAGGATTAAAGAAATCATTTATTCTAACTCTAGGACAATTTATTTTCCCATACACTTTTACTTTTTTAGTTTTGGAACCTTATGCTTCCCTTTTTTAATTATATGAATAAAAAGGTAAATAGTAGTAAAAGAAAAAAGACTAAAAAATGGCTGAAAAGTTGTTTTATTAGATTTGATAGTTATAAGATCATCCCAGAAATTACAGATTTATTTAATTACAAAAAAATTTTTGGTTTTTATTCTACTTTTTACTGGGAAGATAAAATTTCACTAGGATTTACCTTTTCTTTTACTTTTTGTAAAATATATTTATTGGATGCTTTAGTACACATCATCAGTGATGTTTCTAGCCAAGGTTCATTAGGGGTTTTGGGTCTTTCAATATCATACCCCCTCTCCACAGTGACCCAGCCAATACTGATCAGGTATCGACTTGTATACCTTCCGTCAGCTACAATTTTTTTACATCTTCCAAACTACACACAATGCAACTCTTCTCTTTATTGTCTAATCCTGGACGACAGAGAAATGTGAGGCTTGAGTGTGTGCATGTGTGTGTGCATGTGTATATATGTCTCATTAAGGGGAATCAAATTGGTACTTACCACTTCAAGCCAAGCATGCCGCCATATTCCTGATCAGTTGGAAATTGTTGCTGCATTTGCTTCCTTTTTTATTGAAGATTGCTCATTGCTGGTGAGCCGGAGGAAGTCATCCGGGATTGGACAATAAATTGCCAAGAAGAGTTGCATGGTGTGTAGTTTGGAAGATGTAAAAAAATTGTAGCTGACGGAAGGTATACAAGTCGATACCTGATTAGTATTGGCTGGGTCACTGTGAGAGGGGGGAGGGTTAATCGAAAAGGGTGTTTTGTTTTTCACCATTGGATACTATTAAGAGTGTTTAGTTTTAACTAATTTTCTTAAAAAAGATTGCTTTTGGTAATAATAAGGAAATTGTTATATCAGCATGAAGAAAATTATATATTTTTGATTGATTGATTCTAACATTAACAATGTAAGAAAATAAGCTACGTTTCCAACATTTGATGTTTTTTCATTTTAAGATAAAAATGTAACTTAAATGCTCCAAAAGGTTTTTGCATAGTTTATGAAGAACTTACTGTAAATGTTTGAAAACAAATTTATAAAGTTTAACAATGCATGTTGAAGTTGATAATGTTGAAATCAAGACATTATTTGAGAATAATCAACATAATAATCTCTTAATGATAAAATTTTATTTCATTTGTAAACTACAAAAAAGTACTTAGTATTATTCTAACAAAAACTTGCTGTGATATTTCATTTTTGCTGTATTCTGGTAACAAAAAAAAAACATAACACGAATAGAAATCAGATGTAAATGATGAAAAATTTAAATGTCTGTTTCTTTTTATATCATAATTAGATGAGAACATTTTGATGCTATAAAGGAAAGTTTTGCAAAACTGTAAAATGTGCTTTATTGTTTGGTTGTTTTTAAATTTGATGTTGTCATGTCTCTTGGGATTGGTTATGATCTCTAGCCATTTACTTATAGACAAACTGAAGTTTCCCTAATAATGTCAGTTTTGATGCAATTACTAATTTGTTGGTCTTGCTATAGTGAACAAAAGTAAAAATGAAAGTAAATTATTTTTTATAGTGGAGGTTTTAAAATCAATGCTTGTATTTTATCTTATAAATTCTTTCAGATAATATTTACAGTGATCAATATTTTTCTTATTTGATTTTGATTTCTTTGGGGTTTTTTTAATACATTTTTCATTTTAGAGATTCATGTAAACAAATTTAAGATAGACATATTTTGCATAAAAATATTTGTAAAATTGCATTAGATACCTACCAAAATGAATAGCTAATTTTAGAGGAGTTCGATTTTCCCGATCCATCTCTTGCATTTTACATCCATGGTTTTGCAGGATTTTTAATATTTCAGCATTTTCTGAGAAGATGGCATAATGTACTGGAGTATGTTTATTAACTGTTATTTCATTGCCTGAAATATATTTATAAAATAAATTCAATGTTGAAACAGTAAAAATAACAAGCTTTTCATAGATATTCTTGAGGCTTAAAGAGATCTGAATTATAATTTATAAGAAGTGGATTTATCAACTTGTTAAACTTGTTAATAAAACAATCACTGATATTGTTAACATGATATTAGTATTGGACTATTTCATAATCCAGGATTTTGAGTAGCGAATGGAATAATTAATGAAATGTACAGTTGATGATCAATATATTGACAAGGATTTTAGAAGCTTTTGTTAGGAGTTTGTAACTTTTGATGAGTTCCTCAAAGTTGTTAAGTTGTTGATAAGTAGCAATAGGAAGAATGCTTCTTGGTTATCGGTTCACCAATGTCACTAGTGATGGCAAAAATATACATGAAATACTTCAACGAAATGGCTCTAGGAACAGCACCGCTAAAACCAACAGTATGACTGAAATACATAGATGACACCTTCATACTATGGCCAAACCAGGAAGCAGTACAAATATTACTGGACCATGTGACACTGGCAAATGATAAGAGAAGGGTTAAAATTAAAATATAACTTGGAACAAGATGAAAAGGGTTAAAGAATAGAATGATAGACAAACTGAGAGAAATAAGCAAGATTGCTTTTAATTTTAAAAGTCTATTTTTTAAGCAGAGGTAGCTTGAAGAAAGTGACTTTGTTGTTTTGGGGGATATTACGACAGAAGCCATCTGGAAAAAGCTGGGCTGATGATTGATGGTGCTGCATTAAACTGGAAGTTACAAAAACATCTAAAGACTCAGCCCAGGGTTCTTAAAGTGTGGTAACCCTAACAAGATATAGAAGTAGCTGACTGGAGGAAACAGCTGGTAAATTTCTGATTGTATGAACAAGACCAGGCTGGAAAAAATTTGCTGACAAAAAATTAAAATGATAATTCTAATTAATGACCAGAAGCTAAGCCATACCACATGGTTTGAAAACCAGATTTGTCAAAAGGACAACCGAGGTAACAGGCATAGATGAGATACCAAGAAGGATGGAGGGATTGCCTACACCCATTGGATAAATTTGGAGATATAATTAATTTTCCAAATCAGACAACAAAGAAATCTTGTTGGAAGATAGGGGAAACACCAGGTCCCCTAATCACACCAACTCCAACACTAGTCTTAGGTAATGGTCAATATAAGCAGAACACTGAAGCAACCAGAGACCAGTTCTGGAGTGCAGACAATGAGAGACGACAATCTGATGAATCCGATGTGACTTGCTGCTAGAGAAAACTCCAGACTTAAGCCTTGTTCCAGACTTAGCTAAACTGAGCAAATTGTTATGATAGAATTCAAAGTGGAAAGGGTTAATATTTCTGTACAAAGAATCATACCAACCACCAGGCAAAAATCACAAGTGATGACCCAGACACATACCAACAAGAAATGACCAGCATCAAGTGTACCCTTCAGAATAAAGACTACCCTGTGTTATACTCTGTTTCAATTAGATCTCTTTTTGATTTATTTTGCATATCAGCTGCATGTGAACTCCATGAAAGCAGGGAACAAAATAAAAATTTTGTTTTCTGTACATAGGTTCCAGACATCATGTTCGGTCCATGAAGCAAGTTCCCACCCATGAAAGCAATACAATGGCCAATCACAAATATTCCTGCCAGAAAAAGACTGCCAAATTTGCTTAAAACAGGCCTCTCACAACAACCAGAGAAAATGCAAGCCATAAGGCCATCTGCTGGCAAGCAGGGAACTGTTGCCATCACTGCCATGACCACAGAGACCAGCCTTGACACTGTCAGGCTCCTGATACCCACCAACATGATTTGTAACAGCACATGCAGAATGCAGCTGACTATTCAGCCTCAATACTACCAGACTTCCAACACCCATCAACATGAATTATGACATCACTTGCTGACTAATCTCACCTGACTCTTCACACACAAAAACCAACAGAGACCAGATTCCTGGCACCCACCAATGTGATTTATAACTACCCACACATAGAATGTGGACAACTATCCAACTTTGACACCACTAGCTTCCAACACTCACCAACGTGATTTATAACATCACACAGAGAATCCAATGGAGACCAACTTCAACACCACCAGGTTCCCAATGCCAAACCACCATGACTCATAACATTTCAATGTTGACACCACTCAACTACGAGCCTTTCTCATTGTCAACATAGTCACCTTGGCAACCTAACTCACTATAGGCATACTCATAGGCAGTGCGACATTCCACCACAAGCCTGCCAGCTATACCTAATTCCTCATCACCACCACCATCACCTTGGCATACCCAACTCACTACAGGCATACCCTTGCAGTCATCATTGCAACTCTGTTTCAATGATACAACATTCAACTTCCTTGTTGCCACTAACCTGACTTGCTACAAGCATTTCTTTGCAGTGAGACATTCTACGACAGACCTACCAGCTACACCAAACCCTCATCACTTCAGGAACCAATACACCCTACCATGAATTGACCCACCACTATGACTGCAATTGATCAATGTGTGAGTCAGATCCAACCAACACCAACAACTATATTCTGTGACCTTAGTCAAACCAATCAAAAAAATTGGTCAACTCCCAGCACTAACCTTACAACTAGTCACCTTCCTGATGATCAGCAAACAAAATAGACACGTTGTTTAAAAACCTAATAGTCAAGGAGGAAGACCAGAAAATTACCATGGTCTATCTACTTTACATCAAGGGCTTATTGGAAAAGATTCAGAAGATCTATAGTCCATACAACATCATGGCAATATTCAGAAGCAGCTTTGCTCTACAGAGAAATCTTTGTTAAGTAAAGCCTAACATGGAAGGAGAACATGACTGTGCATACTCCATTTCTTGCACTTGGCAAAGATTATTTTTGTGATGTTGGACTGATTCACTTGTTACTTTTGCTATGTCAAGCGAAAGCCCATTATCACTTCCAAAAATGATCATTATATTCAAGACTTTGTATATGCCAGTACTATTAGTAACGCTTTCTGATAATATCCACACTAGTAATATTGGTTCAAGTAGTAATTGCCAAATAGTATAATGATCAGAAGAGAATCATAATCTGTACAGTTGTAGAGTAGAGAGAGTGAACGTGTAGCAATAGTGGATAGACAAGAAGAGTGAACAGTGACCATTACACTATGTATTTATTCACTTCCTTTATGATCACGTGATCTGCTTAATAACTGAATCACCCGTGTTACTCCCTGGCAATCTAGTTTCAAACCACAATGTTGGCAATGACACTTACTCTTATACAACAAATATAAAGATAAAATAAGCCACCCTCTAAAACTAATGCTAGAGGAACTTTGAAAAGCTATATTGAAAGGTGTGACAATGAAATTGGGCATGTATAGAGGGAAAATGGTAGTCATCAGTTCCATGGAATGACATGAAAATACTGAATAAGGAAGAACACTGGAGAGTTAGACATCTGAAAGAATCAATGCATATGCTAAGTTATGAGCACCTCCTTAGTAAGGCTAGGATAAAATAAATACTATATAGGAGCTGCTAATAAAGAAACAAAGACAAATGACAGCAAGTCTTCAACAGCAGTAGCAATACTAATCAGTAGGCATGTTAAGTTTAAGGCTCCAGATTCACCACAGAGAATTGTCCTATGGGACAACAGACTAGTGGATTAAAAAGTTGGTGATATAGTAATTGGGAGTTCAATCCCTGGGCTGGGACTGAGTTGAAACTTAGCAGGACTAAAAATAAGAACCAGACAAGATATCACTAGATATAGGGAGATGAGAACAGTCTACCCTTGTAGATTAAATAAAGAGTTCCATTCAGAATTCCGTCTAGGTTACCTAGGTCAGTATATACCTAATGAAAGCTGGAGGTTACAACAGCCAAAACATTGTCTTAACAACAATAAAAATAAGGGAAATAGTCTAAATGTAAATACTTTTGATAAGTGTTGGTAGCTTCTTAGCAATAGAATTGAAAAAGTAAAGTAAAAAAATAATCAAAGAAATTTACAAAAGAATCAATAAATAGAAAATAAAATAAAAAATATTTTATTGATATTAAATGAAAAACAATATTTTTTAAAGTTATTTTATGAATACTTGGATTGTTTTAATTCCGAATTATTATTATTAAAAAGGTAATGACATTAACAACAACAATGACAATAAACCAGATGTATAACATTACTTACTAATTCCTTAACATCTACTATCCAAAACAATTTATCCAATCTTAACAATATCAAAATAATGACAACCACATCCCAAACTTTTATGGATATGATCAGAACCAAAAATATCCATAACAATAATAATTCTGAAGCAGGTATATCTTAAATAAACTGTTACAATTGTTCTTTACAATATATTAAGAAAACTTGCAGAAATTTAAAAAAAATGTATTTATGAACACAAAAGGGATTTTATACACAATAATTTATCAAATGCATTAGTCATACACAGAAAGTTCAACCACAATTTTGATCTAAAGAATGGCACACTTATCAAAAGAGAATATAACTTACTTAGACAGAAAGGTTAACACTCTGGCAAGACTATCAAGTTTTGACAAAATGTTAACGTGCACCCCAGATTTTTTCAAATATCTACTTTCTGGAAAAAAATACTCTTTTCCCAAACCATAAAAATTTTTAAAAATGAAAAAAAAAACGGTTAAATCAAAATGTTTTATTATTTAAAATAGATAACTACATAAATGATTTATCAAATTAAAATAAAATAATAAATACATTAATATAAAAAAGTAAATAAATAAATATATATAAAAAATAAGAAAAGTAAAAATTAACAGCAGTAACAACATTTACTCATTTTAATTTATTAACTTACATCATAAATAAATAATAAAAATAGTCTAACGGTATGGTATATTTATAGATAAAAGTGCCAAATGTCCACAATAGAGTGTATGTAAATATAAGAGTAGATACTGAGGTCAACATTGCAATCTTCATGCTATTAAGATTGAAGATTGTGTTGTTGACCTCAGTGTCCACTCATATGATAAAAATATAATTTTAGTATTTGCTTTCCTTATGGGTAATAGTGCTCAATATCAGGAATAGAGCATATGTAAATATAAAGGTGGACACAGAGGTCAACACTAACTTGTGACAATCTGTTTCATTCTTGAATGAAATTTCAGGCCATGTGTGTTGTGTGTTGGTTTGACTATATATGCTGGTCAATAGTACATTGTGAGTAACAAGGTCTATTGTGACACTATTTGGCACTGGCAAATGGAAAGAAAGGAGTTAAATCCAAAGACATCGTTTGGAACGAAACAAGAAAGGTTAATGAATAGAATAATGGACAGACTGAGACAAAGAATGAAAATTTCTTTTTTCTTTCAAAAGAGAAACTAATTTTCTGAATTCAGAGGTTTACTAAAGAAAAGTGATATTGTCACAAAGAAGCCAAGTGAGGATCTTTAAGGCTGACAGCTGATTAATGAGGCCGTCTGCAGGCCAGGTTATGAAAACAATATAAAGTCTCTTTGTGTAACCTAAGGTATTTGGAGTGCAACAACTCTGGTGGGGCTTGGTAGGCTAATTACCTGAGAGGAAAACATCTGATAGATAACAGATGTTAGACAAGGCCAGGATGAGAAAATTTTGCGTAAGCAAAATTTGAAATGATATTCTTTATTTAATGACCATAAGTTAAGCCATGACAAATAGTCAGGAGTTAGATTGGTTGAAGGGTAGCCAAAGTGCCAGACACAGGTGAAATACCAAGGGAGGTGGAGAAATTGCCCATGCCCATTGGGAAGTATTGGTTTGAGATACCAATAAGAGAAGGAAGTTATCTAAGTGGATCAATACTTGTGACCACTGCCCATAGGAAAAGGCGAATTTTGGAGATGTAATTAATTTTTCAAGGGAGGTGGAGAAATTGCCCATGCCCATTGGGAAGTATTGGTTTGAGATACCAATAAGAGAAGGAAGTTATCTAAAGTGGATCGAATTTTGGAGATGTAATTAATTTTTCAAGGGAGGTGGAGAAACCATGCCCATTGGGAAGTATTGGTTTGAGATACCAATAAGAGAAGGGTTAAGTGGATCAAGACCACTGCGAATTTTGGAGATGTAATTAATTTTTCAAGGGAGGTGGAGAAATTGCCCATGCCCATTGGGAAGTATTGGTTTGGGATACCAATAAGAGAAGTAGGAAGTTATCGTGGTGGATCAATACCTGTGATGTAATTAATTTTCCAGAGCTAGACAACAAAATGGCTTGTGTTGGAAGATAGAGAAAACACCGAATCTCCTAACTGCATCATGCCCCAGACTGGTTTTGGGTAAATGTCAATAAATGCAAGAAATCAAAGTGGCTGAGACAGTTGTTCCAGCTACATGCTTAAAGAGAACCTCCGACATAAGCCCTGAAGCTTTGTTCAGACTTAACCAAATCAACCGAAATGTCATGTTTAACTTACGAAGTGGGTTGGGTTGATAATTTTCTGTTTGAAGAATTGATAAATTCTAACGTCAAGACTAACCAAGCACTGTCAAAACAGAACGTATATTAAAGCATTTATTTTTATTCATGTTATTTTTTTTTCACTTTTGACTTCATTCTGCTTGGACCAGCCCAATACGACAATTCCTGTTGACAATTCGATCTTTGCTAGCCTTATGATCAAAACCAAATGCAACATGGAGTAAGGCAAGGCTTGAGTCAAGGCAGTCAACTCATTGATCAGCTGTGGGGATTGGATATCAGATGGACTGGCCGAGAAGAAGGCTACATTGTAATATCCTAATGGTTATTCGGTAGGTTGTAACAGTTGTAATTCTATGGACTATTGAGTGGAAATAATTGTGGATCCAAATGTGGTATAACTAATAATAAATGACATATATATAATTGTAATATAATAATATAAACTGGTTTTGAAAATATTTTCTTATTGTTTTGTAAATAATGGAAAGCTATCTGTTTTTTACATTTTCCTTCACACAACACATATGGATTATATCATTACAAACAAAAAACTAGACAAAAAGTGATTGGCACCCATGAACATTATCAGAATTTTTGTGTTTTTGTAATGTAATAATTACTTTAATCCTCATATTTATTTTTATAATGTTAAAGTTCATTTATAAAGATAAAGTTACCCTGCTGAAAATAATTAAAAATAATGAAACGTAATGTTTCCAAATCTTGGAACTTTTGGGGAAAAGATTTGAAAACAACTGGAAATTCCATTAGATAATCAAATGTTACACTTACAGAAAATTTTTACTGCACAGTAATTTTAATGTATATTTTTTGATTGGAATATCGCTCTTCATGAGTATATTTATTTTTATTGTGATGTTTGTTATTATTATTATTATTTTAATTAAGATTATCTATATGTTTTGACTGGAATGTGACTCTTGATGAGTATTTTATTATTATTGTAATGACAAAAATACGCAGATGTAGGCTTTACGAAAGCTTTATTCAACTGAGAATACAAGGTTCAAGTATAGTGTCCTTTTACAGTCCCAGTAAACAGAAATAGCTCTCTCAAAGAGGAGAGTAACAAAACAAGGGGCGACCACTCTTGATTATTCATAACAGTTATTACTGTTGTTGTTCTTTTATTATTATTATATTTAATGCAGATTTTCTCTATATGTTTTGGTTGTAATGTTACTCTTGGTAAGTATTTTATTAGTATACTATTGTGGTTGCTGTTGTTATTCTTTTTAATGCAGATTTTCTCTATATATTTTGATTGGAACACCACTCTTGTTGGGTATTTTTGTTGTTGTTGTTATTATTATTATTATTAGCAGCAGCAGCAGCAATGACAATAATAATAATAATAATAAGGCCTAATTATTGCTGCTCAAGATCAAATCCTTGCAACCAGATCCTATCACTGTCACATAATCAAAGATGAAATTAACCTGAAATGGAGGCTCTGTGGAAAATATGATGAAACTGTCAACCATATTATCTCAAGGTGTCCGGAACTGGCAAAAAATGAATAGATCCACTGACATAACAAGGTAGCGACATATGTGCACTGGAAGATATGCAAGAAGCACAAAATTGAAACCGCCGAGAGATGGTATGAGCACCAACCAGACACAGTTGCCAAAAATAACAATGTAACTATCCTCTGGGACATGCCAATTCAAACTGACAGGGAAATAAAAGCCAACAGACCTGATATTATTATAAAAGACAAGAAATTCAGGAAGTGTATGCTTATTGACATAGCAGTACCATCTGGGGGGAACACCTCCATAAAAATTATTGAGAAATTCTCCAAATACAATGACCTGGAGATTGAGCTTAACAGGATGTGTGAAATGAAGACTGAAACTGTACCAACAGTAATCAGAGCTCTGGGCCTCATGAGAAAAAAGAATGAACAATTTTACTATCACTGTCCCAGGTAACATCAGCATAAAAGTTACCCAGAAAATTGCCCTACAAGGAACATCACATATACTAAGAAAAGTGCTATCAATTAAATGACAATTCTCCTATAACGCCTAAGGACCATAGTTTGGAACTGGCTCTACAGGATACAAAGCAGGAAGCATAACATAGACAAATAATACTATTGAATGTTTTTAATAAAGTCAATTTAACTATGGTACAGACCCTTTATCACAGTGTAAAAGACATTATTTATTTTCCTCTAATAAGTCTTACCCTATAGACAGAGGATAACTTTTTTATTTTTTCAAAATTTTGCAAGTTAAAATTAGGATGAGTCCTGAAAGTTATAATAATCTTGATGCTGGGAAATAAAGTACTTAAAAAAAAGGAAGTTGTCAATAAAAGTATTGTATTTCCAACAAAAACAAAATTGGTACTTACCATCATAACATTTTTCTGATGTTTCAATACTCAGTAATAGTTTTATGATTTTTTCTTTATTTAGATAGGCAGCAAAGTGTAATGGAGTTTGCTTAATTTCATCAAGTGGCTTTGGGTCAATTTCAAGACTAATTAAATATTCAAAAACTTCAAAAGGTGCAAAGCAAGCCTGAAAGACAAAATGTACAGGGGAGGTAATTGGGTTGTTTTACCACAATTCCATTATCATGTATTTACATGGGCAGTCACTACAGTACTAGATGGCATTAATCTTTCATGAAATGATGCATTAAAGGTATTTTTTTTAAGCATTTCACTCCTAGCAAGGTGGGAAGCCACTAGCACGCAAGGGGTTATAGAGGATTTGGAGCGAGAGCAGGTAGGAATGCTAGAGGAAAGGATGAGGAGAAGGATAGTGGATAGATCAAGGCAACTGGAGATGTTGATTGACATTACATTTGAAAAGTTGGAGATTATAGCTATAGTGGAAACAGGAATGGGGAAGAGAGTTTCACAGGTGAGAGGTGTGAGATATGAAGCTATTGGAGTAGAAGAGGCAGCTACATTTAACAGTTTAAACAGTGGAAGGGTGAGAGCGGGATGCCAGCCTCGTAGGACGCTTGAATTCACAAAGTCTGGGAATCAGCGATAGCAGCTCATCGGAGCAATTACCATGAAAGTATTTGTAAAAAAGACAGAAAGAGGTGACGGTGTGTCTGTGAGAGAGTGACTGCAGATGAGATGCCAGATCGGGGCCAATTATATTGCATATCCGTCTCTGGATCTATATAATGGTTTCCAATTCTCCACACTCAACTAACAGCGAACACCAAAAGAAATTCTCCAAGTGTTCGACAGATATGCAGTTGGCAAAACTAATGTCACGTATGAATGTTTTGGGTTTCACATAACAAAACCAAAAAAGTCCAAGAGCATTTACATTATGGACATTGATAAAAATGTAGTTGAATCAATACTGCATGAGCAAATTGTTTTGGGGATATGGAACCTCCAAACAAAAGCAGACTTGATAAAATTGAGAGAGTTGGAGTTGCAGAGATGCAATGACATCTGCAAACTAATGGAGAATCCTACTCAACAATCTTAAGCTTTGAATAAACAAGGTTGCTACAAAGACACAGAAGAATCCATTGAGAAAACCAAAACTTAGAAAAGAGTTTTGGTTCCGTACTTTTCACCATGAACCAGGTAGGGAGCAATGACCAGTTTATAGAAAAACATATCTGAAGTACCAAGGCAAGAATCCCTTTGCAGCAAAATGCAAGTAAATTTTCTCTGAACTCCTAAGGTTCATTTAAAGTATATTTTCAATTGTATGTAAAATTAATTTTCATCTATTTTACTTTTATATATGGTTTCCTTATACAAATATCCCTTTGATTTCATAATAGTTTTTCTAATTATTCAGATTATAGTCAGATCATATTGAAAACACTGCTTCACTTTTCATCACCAAAGTTAAGCACTGTTGATCCCATCCAGTATTTAGAATGGGGACTGCTTAGAAACATTGGATACTGTAAGCAACCTCTTACAATCCAAAACATTTCAGCTTCAATATTTGTTGTGGGTTATTTAAATCCACAAAAGGCTGAAAAAACATTAAAAAAAAACAAAACAAATCAAACAAAACTTTCTAATTAGTCAAAAACATCAGTTTATTTTATGTTAGAATTTTTTAGATGAGGAATTATAATATTAACTCATTATTTAGACCAGCATGTTCAACTTGGTTGTTGTACTCACAAAGTTTTGGCTGTTGTACCCTCTGGCTTTCTTCAGGTGTCTGTCAGTAACCATCTCAGAATTTTTAACTAAACCCTTTCCTCAGACCATGGGAGTAGATTGTTCTCATTCCACTTTCCATGCTTAAGGGATATTTCATAATAGTTAATATGCACTAGTATCATTCACCTTTGTGTTGTTTGCTCATTTTTTAACTACTGAATAAGAATATGTGACTTTTCACAACTATCAGTTCCAGAGATTGAACTCATAACTGCAATTGAACCAGAGATGTTTTAACCAGTGTCTTAATCCACTAGGTAATATCTCTTGGCTAATACTGTTCATCATGAAAAAAAGAGAATCAATTTATTTCTTGGATGTACTAATAACTCACACAGAATATAAGTTCAAAACATCTGTATAACATAATTCAACATTCACTAGACAGTACCTGAATTAGAAGACAATGTTATATTTATAGAGTAGTTGTTATCCTGAAGGTCATTTCTAATGTTGATCATCACTTGTAGGTATGCATAAGAGTCACCACTCTTGGGAAAGATAGTGAAGGGGTTTCCCATTGCCTACTTCACAGTATAAAATTTAGAGTTTTTCTATTCTTAAACAGGTTGTCACTCAAAACTAGAACACTCCGTTTATTCTGCTATTTAATCCCTAGCTTATGGGAGAATAGATGACATTAATGAACACAACAGACCAGCCTGGAATTTGAACTTGGCTGGCATATTCCACTTTCTGCACTGATGTATGTTACACTACCCACATCTCCTTAAAAATCGGGATAGAAAATTAAATTACCTTAAATTTGCTGTTTAAAATATATGGGGCCGTGATATGTGTATATTATGTTATGTTTTATGTGAGTTTTTGTTTTCACAAAATGTTGGTATGATTTTCAGGATATATTTGTATTTATATCATGTGAGCTTCAGTTTAAATATATTGAAAATAATCCCTTTTAGAGATATCAGGTTTTATTATGCAAACAAAATGCAACATATTTATTTTTATATAAATTAAAAAGAAAAAAGAGATACCTGTAGGAGGTCTCTACTATCTTATCCTTCCTTTTACAAGTACTTTTAAAGGCACTAACAAAAGAAAAGACACTTGCTCAAAGTGAAATTTGTAAAGAGACAAACATTTTTTTAAAAATGACAAAATATTTTTACAATATACAAATTACAATATAGGCCTTGCACAAAGTTTCGCTTGTGTACCTTAAATAATCAAAGTAAATTAACAGTTTTTTGAAATACAAATTTGTTATCTCTTAGAAAACAACCGTCCATGAAATCAAATTTTTTCCTTAACAACAAAGGAATTTTAACAATTTTCTTTTAAAGCAACAGTTCATATAAATCGATTTCTTAGCCACAAAAGAAATTTACTTATTTTGAAATGTTCATAACTCAAAATTTGATGATTGAAAGTTGAATGGGGGTGAGAAAGAACAATCTATCTTATGTGAAGTTGGTTCTTTGAGCCTATTAGACAAAATATTTAAGTTTTCAGAACAGGTTTTCTTAAATATGAGATAATCTCTCACAGGTTTAAGAAAGTCATTAAAATGAGATAAACTCATATGTTTAGAATAAGCGTTTGTATATGCGTTAAAAATCATGTTTAGAAAAGACATTTGCATATCAAATTTAGAAGATTATTCTTCAACAGCAACAGTAGAGTTAGTCTTTCTCATCCCAGATCACAACCTTTCACACTTTCTTCACCTGATTGTAGTCTATTCCTTTCTCAGCGGCAACAGTAGTAGTAGGAGCAGACTTTACATGCCTGAGGTGGTCAGTCCTTTCTCCCAAATGACAGTCTTTTTACCCGAGTGGTTGAATCCTTTCTGATTTTGCAGTCAAAATTTTCCCTTTAAATAGCAAGCAGTTAGCTAACTCAAAAACTAACTCCTTTTATCACCATTGTTTAAAAACTCAACAATCACTCCCATCTGCTATCATTATTTAATGATGTATTTGGATGAAGATGTTAATCTGAAAGAATCAGCCAAAAAGTTTTATCTTCTGGATTGGTTTAGTGAAAGGTCATATTATTCTTGGTTGAGATGGCAGAGCAAGGATTAACTTTAATCAGATAAACTTATTACTTCCTACAGGTTACAAATATTTGGTATTTAGCAATAAATACAAGACATTATAGTTCTAACTTCACACATCAGAGCTTTCTTTTCTTTAATATCTCTAAATTTTTCATTGCTATGTTGGAGTGGACAATGGAGTGGTTTTCTTATTTCAACATGATTTTGAATTTAAAGTTGTCCTTCTCTCAATCTGGATTCCAACCAAGGCTAGACTGTCTTACTATTTAAACTACAGCTAAGGAGAGAAGTTTCATGCCTTTCTCAAGGTTATTATTACTGAATGAACCGAAACTAACTCAGCCAGATTTTGAACTCAGTTTGCTAATTCTTTTTTTGAGGTTGTTATCAATTAGTCCACATGCATCTCCACATTTTCTACTTACTAAACAGAAATTTATCCATAAGTATTACTCACCAAAGTGTGAGTTAAATATAAGTAATAACAATTTTTATTCCTTAGCATAGACATTTCTAGAATTAAAATTGATCAGATTTAATTACATTTTCATTAAACACCTGTCAAGATGAATGGTAAATATACAAAAAATATAAAATGGATGACAATCAAAGCATTAATTTTTGCTGCAATTGTTGAAGCATGAAACTATATTGTCAATCAGTTATACTTTGTCTATTATTCTAGCAATAATTAGATTATTGCTAAGATGAACAGAGAAAAAAATGCTAAAAGTAACATTTGTAGTTGTAATGGTTTTCTATTCTATGGAAAATATATATATATATATATATATATATATATATATATATATATATATATATATATATATATATATATGAAAGTGAACATCAGAGGGACAGACTGTTTCTGTTGCAATCATCATGCCACATCTGTGGCCTGATGATTGTGTCTAATATGAAACTGCCTGTTGCCTCTGAGTGTTGACTTCAATGTTCACTTTTATATTTACATATGCTCTATCTTTGATATTGAACACTTTATCTCATAAATGTAGCACACCTTAAAACTATACTTCTTCATATATATATATATATATATATATATATATTTAATGAACAACAGACACTTTAAGGTACCATAACAATAATTTATTTCATCCTCTTTGGAATTACCAATTCAGTTTACCAAATTCTTCATAACTTAACGATATATATATATATATATATATATATATATATATATATATATCTTTATAGTTTTAAAGTATGCTATATTTATGGGTTAAAGTGCTCAATATCAGAGATAGAGTATATGTAAATATAAAAGTGGACATTGAGGTCAACACCCAGTGTTGACAGTCTGATTCATGCTTAAACAAATATATATATATATATATATATATATATATATATATATATATATATATATTATGAAATGGACAAAGTCCGAAAATTATTTTAAAACATTTTTTATGTTTATACGTTCTTTTTATGGATACAAATATTTAAGTAAATGCTCTGTTTATAATAAACAGTATTAACAACATTTACCGAGCATTTAGTTAAATATTTGTATCTATAAAAAGAATGTATAAACGTAAAAATATCTTAAAATAATTGTTGGACTTTGTCCATTTCATAATGTGTGACATCATTTGTTTACATTTGGATACGCATTGAGCAGATATGAATGTATGAGAGAAAATCATAGAGAATTGTATTTAAAAACAGTAAAATTGACCATGCTAACCGAATGCTCCTCTGTGGCCCAATCAGTTAAGGCACGTCAGGCTATATGACAGTTTTGTTTAGGATACAGGTTCGATTCCTGTTGGAGGACGCATATTTTCTATGAAAATTTCTCGGACATTCAGGCTGGTAAATCTTGTTAATACTGTTTATTATAAACAGAGCATTTACTTAAATATTTGTATGCATACAAAGAACATATAAACATAAAATATATATATATATATATATATATATTTGTGTATTTAGGCAGCAATCGTTCTTTCTTGCACATTTCATTGAATATGACAAAGTGCTTTTATTTAGATTCACTCTACACCTTTCTGGCCATAGCTCAATTAGATCTCATTTAAATATTCATGGAGACCTACCAGACACTATTCGTAACATAGTTTTTGACAACACTAATATAATAGCATCATCTACATGCAAAAGAAGGCTAAAAATAATGGAAGCCTTATTAATAAAAACAAAAAAAGCAACACTTAATAATATTAGGTATGAACATGGACACAATATCTTGACAGTGTTTTGAAAAATGAAAACATTTTGTAAAACATACATGCAACAAACTATTTCTTATTTAACAGTTAAAATATTTAATCCTTGAAAATGGCTAAATGTATAGCTGAAAGTGCTCAGATAAAAAGAACACCTTTCTGGCCATAGCTCAATTAGATCTCATTTAAATATTCATGGAGACCTACCAGACACTATTCGTAACATAGTTGTTGACAAACTAATATAATAGCATCATCTACATGCAAAAAGAAGGCTAAAAATAATGGAAGCCTTATTAATAAAAAACAAAAAAGCAACACTTAATAATATTAGGTATGAACATGGACACAATATCTTGACAGTGTTTTGAAAAATGAAAACATTTTGTAAAACATACATGCAACAAACTATTTCTTATTTAACAGTTAAAATATTTAATCCTTGAAAATGGCTAAATGTATAGCTGAAAGTGCTCAGATAAAAAGAACATTTGGACAGTTTTTATATAATTTATCATCTGAAAAGAAAAAAATTATTAGATTGCATGAGAAATTGTATAAAAAACTAAATAAAAGCACCTTGTCTGTTGTATTCAATGAAATGTGCATATATATATATATATATATATATATATATATATATATATTAGCAGGCTAATTGTGGTTAACTGAATGACAAAATGGAAAAAAAACTCCTTAGTGACATGTTTTGTTCCAAGAAATTTCTTCAGATCAATAATACATTTGTCTGAATTTGCATGTGTGTGTGTGTGTGTGTGTGTGTGTGTGTGTGTGTGTGTGTGTGTTTTGATAAATCTAAATTCTTTTGAGGATTATAGATTTAATAAGAACAGAAAGAGTTTAATATTAAGTAACTGGAGTTAAAAATATCACATAATGTTAATTAAAATTGCCAATCTTGTACTAGAGCTGTAAACATGCACCTTATTACTGAATAAATGTAGGAAAGCAATATAATAAATAATGAAATTTTGTTTACTCTATGAAGAATGCATTCTGATTTCATCAGCTCATCCAGACTTTCTTTATCAGCGATGGGCTCAATGACTTGTTTGATATCTTCTACTTTCAATTTCTTCACTTCTTTTGGATCTCTAAAAAGTTGACAGAGAGGATTCAGGCTTTCTAAAAAAGAGAAAATATGATATTTCAATTTCTTTTCTTATCAAGCCCACATATAAATCAGTGATAAAGATTGTCTCTTGTTCATTATGAAATACTTTACAAATTTTGTCAGGAAATTTGTTTGTGTGAAGTAACTTATCTACAGAAAATATTTTGCTAATATGAACATTGTCTGACTGATGGCTACACAGGAAATACTACTTTAAAATTAAAACTCTAGCAGACATTAAACCTTTTTGCCAAATACACATACATGAAAAACCCTATCAGCAGAAGTAACCCTTTTCTGCTTTTGGGCATATTTTCAAAGAGGACGCTAAAGTTAGTACTCTGAGCAATAGACACACATAATGTGAAGAGTAGACATCACTGACTTGCTAATTCAACAGCAGAGTAAGATCCACTTTTCCTTCATTCTTTGTGGAGACTTAAGAACATTCCTTGAAATTTTCTCTACACACAAATATTTCTGATAGAATAAATATTTCTGTCTTATTTTTTTTATTCTTTTGTTTGGCTTTTTTCTCAACACTTTTAATTTTTGTTCAACACATGATCCCTGCTCTAATAATAACAGTTTTTTGACCATGAGGTCAAATGTGGGTTTCTTTACTTCATGTTAACCTTACAAAACAAATAAAAATCATTATTGATATTATCTTGTAGATAAACAGAAATTAATATACAAATTCATGAAAAAAATAATGCACAAATTCATAAAAAAAATGATTAGATTTATAGTTTTTATTCAAACTTTTAAACCAACTATATAATAATGAACTAATTTTTTTTTGTATATGTGATTATTATTGTAATTCCATTCATGGTTTCTGCCTCACAAAGCATGTTGTTTTTATGGTATCCCTGCAATAGTCCTTTTAAGAAATGTGTTCCTGAATTGCCTCCTGTTCTCTTTAAATTCTACAATAAATGCCTTGTTTTTTAGGTCTTGTGTTTCTTGCTTTTCTGCTTACTTCAAGTTGAAAGGTTATTTTTGGATGAATTTTTGATCTGATTCAATCTTTCAATTATGAATGAAAGCTGTTTTTTTAAACAACCACACTTCTAGATCTTTTTGTATTAATGTGGGTTGACCTAAGTCATTCTTAATTTTCAAGAAGAATCTGCAATGTTATTGGTCTTGATCTGGTATCTCAGCTTCAGTCACTTTCCCACTGTCATAATGTTGAATCCCTGTGCCTTTTCTATAAATATTTTCAAGGTAATTGTTCTTTGGTATGTAAACTTTATGAATTTTAGCGTAGTATTAGATTGGTAGCAAGTTCTCATCATTTTACAGTTGAAATTGCTAAATAAAACCATAAAGTCTATGCTAACAGTTTTTTCTCCTGTACTTCTCACTTATGGAATACTCTTTTGTTCGCTTGCTTCCCAGTCAACTTTGATCTTCAAAAATTTAAATGCAATGTCAATCATTATTTTTTGTTGTCTTAATTCCTTTTATTTTATTGTTATCTCTCCTTTGCTTTCTTTTTCTCATATTTTTTCACACTTTGTAACCCCTATGTGTCATATTCACTTTATTATCTTTCTTGGGGTGAAATGATTAAAAAAAACAAAAAAATAATTAAATGTAGAGAAATTGATGGTTCAGACAGAGGAAGGAGTAATGTACTTACCTGAGTTGTTGGTTCTTGTTGACTAAAAGCTATTACCTTGTTATTAATTCTTTTTTTATAGTTACAGGGTCTCTTGACTTGCTACCACATGATCCCTGAAGTGGTTATAAAGAAAATGTTTTCCTTGTTTTTTTTGCTCTTCTTGTAACTCAATGCAAGTTATCAGACAATTACGCTATGTTGTGGAAGGAAATATTTTTTCGCAACTTAAGGTAAGTACTTTTGCTCCTTTCCTCAGTCTGCAATGTCTCTGGACATTTTTGGGGGTAGAGATTTTCTCAACATAAAATACTCTAACTTACAGAATAAAATGATTTCCTGTCCAATTTATTAATAACTTATTAATAATGATAATGTGAGGTTTCATTCATGCTCAACCAGAATGATTTTATTCTTCAGGAGAAAATAACTTAGTGGATTAAATTGTTGGTTTGGGAATTTGGTGGCATAGTAATCTCTGAGTCAGACAGTATGGAAGTAGGGAAATTGGAGTGAACTCTTACTTAGCACTACTAAATATGAACTAGATGGCATATCCTTAGACATGGGCACTACAATGAGAACAATTTACCTCCATATATTAAATGAAGGGTTCAGTTTGAAATTCCTTATAGGTTATATGGATCAACTAACACTGGCACAACAGCCAACATATTGTGAAGACAACAACAAAGACAAGGACAATAGTATGCATATAAATAATGATAACTACCCTGCCCATAAATTCAGACAGAAAAAAGATAACTCCTAATATATTAAATGTTATTTATCAAATAGTTTCCTTTATTTATTTATTTTCAAATAATTATGATATGGATTTTATAAATTCAATGTGATTTAGCACTTAACTTCATGGCCACTACAAATGGTGTAAAGAGGACAAAATTTCTCAGAACCTATCCCTTGCCTGAAAAGGAGCGACATGATCGACAGGTGTCACTGAACCATTATCCAGCAACTGCTTGCATCAAACAAAAAATAACTTGAGACATGGAGTGTTTGGATGTTGAACAACTGTGGCCAATTAGATAATGTAAAACATGAGATAAGTAGGCTAAAAATCAATATTTTAGGTGTATGTGAAACTAGGTGGCCAAACAACAGATTTTGTCAGTGACAATCACAAGATTATATATGCAGGTGGAGAGAAAAACAATAAAGGTGCAGGATTGATACTAGATCAAGAATTGAAGAAATGCATTCTGGAATACTATCAATTATCTGAAAGAATTCTGATAGTCAAGCTGAAAGGAAATCCTTTTGATGTAGCTATCATAATAGTGTATGCACCGACAGCACAAAGTAAGGAAGAAGAAATCAAATTGTTCTATTCTGTTAGACAATGCCAAGGCTAAATGCAAATCACAAGAAGTCATAATTATAATGGGAGACCTGAATATCAAAGTAGGCAGGGAGTGGGCAGGGGATGTAGGTGGCAAATTTTGACTAGGAACCCGCAACGAATATGGAGAAAAATGGATCCAATGGTGTTTGGCCAATGACCAGGTCATAGCCAACACATGGTTCCAAGAACACCTGACATGATTATGAATGTGGAAGAGAAACTAAAAACCAAATTGACTACATAACTATCAACAAAAGGTTCAGGAATTAAATGGTTCACTGCAAAACCTACCCAAGTGCCAACTGTGGAAATGATCATTGCTCAGTTAAATGTAAATTAAGAGTGAATCTACAGAAACTGAAGACACCTAATGCAGAACCCAAATTGCAATACAACAAACTCTTGATCGACCTGTACCTGAAAGAAAAATATATGGACAATGTAAAAAAAGTTACGAGGAAAACAATGAAAATGGAAACTTGAAATGGAACACACTAAGAGCTTTACTGACATCATCAAATGATATCATCCTAAAGGAGAATGGACGAAGAAAAAAATGAATGGATGACTGATGAGATTCTCAACATGATGTGAAGGAGACAGAAAATTCTACCAAGATATGGAACAGAATACAGAAACTACACAATTAAATAAGGACCAAATGCAGGCAGGCTAAAGAAGAGTGGCTAAACAAAAAATGTGCAGAAATAGAGAGATTGAGTACCACCAACAAAGAAGTTATGCATAAACAAATAAGGCAACTAACAGCACAGAAGACATGCTTGTTAACAGGCTGCATAAAATCAAAGGACAGAATGCTCATATTAGAGAAGGGAAAAATTCTTCAGTGCTGGGACAAATATATTGGCGAACTCTTCCACAATGAAAGAGAAAAACCAGCAATACACAGAACTACCAACAGGCTTGAAATTCTAAAAACCAAAGTAGAAGCTGCACTGGCCAAATTGAACAGGAACAAGGTGGCAGGGCCAGACAGAATTGTAACAGAAATGCTGACAGCATTAGATTATTTTGGCATATACAAGATTATTGAAATAATAATTGAAATCTACAACAGTGGGGATATACCAGAAGATCTCAGCAGATCTATTTTCAGAGTAATGCTTAAGAAACCAGGTGCAAACAAATGTGAACTCCACTGAACAATCAGCCTAATGAGCCACATAACAACTCATCATCTATATTCTGATGAATGGAGAATGCAGCAGAATCAGACCAGAGATAGGACAAGAACAGTGCAGGTTTGTTAAAGACACTGGAACAAGGAACATGATATTCATGCTCAGACTGTTGTCAAAAAGATCAATTCAAATGCAGAAGGACATGCATCTATGTTTTATAGACTATTCAAAGGCGTCCAACAAAGTACGCCACAAAGATCAGTTGGAACTGTTTTGCAACCTTGATATACTTGGGAAAGATATTAGAATAATCAAGAACCTATACTGGCAGCAAATGTCCTGCATACAGATAGAAAATTAGTTCAGCAGATATAAAAAAATAGAAAGGGGCATAAGGCAAGGATGTGTTTTCTCACCGAACTTATTCAACCTAAACAACAAGTCAATTCTGAGAGAACTGGAAATCCTACCAGGATTATTTATTGGCAGCCACAATCTTAGCAACATAAGATATGCAGATAACACAGTGCTGATAGCAGACACAGGTAGGAAATTACAAAACTTCCTACAGAAGGTAGTGAAGGAGAGCCAGAAGAATGGACTAATCATACATTATAAGAAGACAGAATCCATGGCCATCAGCAAAAAGATGAGTCTGAAATCTGATTTATAGGTCAGGACAACTAAAATCAAGATGGTGTGGAAATTTAAGTATCTGGGAAGCTGAGATCTAAAGACATATTGGGATGGCCAAAAATGCATTCCAAAAGCTAGGCAGAGTATTATTAGACAGGAGGATTTTGTTGGTAACAAAAAAAAGAGTACTGAACTGCTATGTGATATCTGTCCTCCTTTACAATAGTGAATGTTGGACATTCTCCTCAGAGATGAAGAAGAGACTCAAGGAAATGGAGGTATGGTTCTACAGAAGGATGCTAAGGATACCATGGTTCAAACATGTGAGCAATGATGAGGTTTTGGAGAGCTTGTAAACAAAGAGGAAACTTATATTTAACATCAGGAAGAAGCAGCTGAAATTTCTGGAACACATAATGAGAATGGAAGTCTTGGAAAATCTGATACTCACAGGGCAGATAGAGGAAAAGAGAGACAAGAGAAAGCAATGTGTGATATACTTAGTGGGCTTAAGCAAGTGGATGGCAGAACAGGGTCTGGGAGAAGTAGCAAAAGGACAAAACTTATTGAGAACTACAAGGAATAGGAGAAAGTGGAGAGTCATGATCGTCTGCGTCCTGAAAAGGCACTGCACATAAAAGAAGAAAGAAGAAGTGAAACAAATGGCAAGTGAAACAAAAGGCAGAATTTTCTTGCTTTCTAATAAAGTGAATTTATATTTTCTGCTTAAATAATTTTTTTCTAAATATTAAGAATTAAAAATATACATATTGATTCTTAAAAAACTTCCATTTTTGATTAAATGTCACAATAAATATGTATGCAAAATTGCATAAAATATTTGAATTTCTGTTTTTATAGAAACTGATTGAATTTTATTATTACTGAATACTTACTTATTTCCTTTAATTCACCAAATTCAGATTTCCAGGAACTAAAATCAAGCAGTAAAAGGAAATGTATGCATGAATATATAGATATATATATATAATATGAAACAAATATAGTTTTATGTTATGCTATATTTATGGGTAAAAGTGCTCAGTATCAGAGAAAGAGCATATAAAAGTGGACATTGAGGTTGACACCAAGCAGAAACAATCTGTTCTCATGCCTGGAGTCAATCTATTTTGTCTGAAGATTGCATTTGAGTGTAAAAGGGACTGTGATCACCTGTTGATGACCTCAGTGTCAACTTTTGTACACACACATATATATATATATATATGTATAATTAAAATAGAAGTAAAAACATTTAATACTTATTGAAGGTCATAATATTTCAATCAGTTATCAGGTCTCTTGAGATAATGTTTGCATAGATTATAGAGAAATTCTGTTAAAAATGTCTAACTATATAATTTTCCATATATTATTTGCTAGTATTAGTAGTAACCATTTTTATGGTTATATATATATATATATATATATATATATATATATATATATATGGGCATGTGGACAAGTGGTTAGAACTTCCGTTCTGACCATGAGACTTGGGTTTGAATATCACCATGGTTGATTTGTCAGAAAGGAGACTTTCTGATGTTGTCAGACTGGAGGGGCACTTATGAAAGTGCCTGAAAACCATATCACAGGTTGACCCAAGCCTTGTGAGTGAAATTGGGTAGATGGAACACTTGGGGGTTGTCAATAGCTTTGCTAGCAGGCAGTCATAAGTCATTGTAACCGAGGGCTTGAGTGTGCTGGCTTTGTTCACAGTGTTGATCATACTAGATAATATACTCACTCCCAGAAACTGTGACTAATATCTGCTCAGCATAGTTATAGTATAAACCACAGAGCGGTGTCTGCAATAGGGATTGGCTAGCTGCCCTAGTAGATGAGTATCCTCAAATACGAGTGTCCAACTATTATATATATATATATATATATATATATATATAATAGTGCTCAGTGAGTACTGGTGGTAATAAAACTGAATTAATAGTCACATGTAGATATAGAAATAAATATATTTTGAAAAATGTTGAACTAGATTGATTTTTTCAATGATTGCCACCACCCCTCATGTATACTCTATATATTTTTGTTTATGTTTTCATTCTTTATAACCAATTCATTTTTAATATATATATTATATTTTTATATAGAAATATATTTTTATATATGTATATATTTTTTAACCAATTCATTTTTATATACATAGAAATATGTATATGTTCATTATATATATATATATATATATATATATATATATATATTTATATATATATACACAGGTATGATGAAAATGAATAGAGTACAATTCCAACATTTGTAACATTTAATTTAAATAAAAGGATATTGTACCAAAAACATGTAAAAATCGCTACGCAATTGCAGTTGTGTTTTAATGAATATCAAAGTATCTTATCAGGTGATTGTAAATTACTGGCAAGTGAATGATTTATTTAGATTTAAAAGCAAAATACAACTTCTTTTTTCAAAAAGAATAAATGGGGGTTATAAGGTTTGTCGGCTTTACTCTGATCAACCAATGAAATATAACCTAAATTAAAAGTTAACAAAGAAGAAAAATTAAAAATTATTTTTTATAAATGGGTCATGATTGGCAGCTAACAGCAGCCGGATATAAGCTTAAAGTGGATACATATGGTTACATAAAACAAATCAGACAATGCAGTTTCCTAAGAAATTAAAGTGGGGTAGAGAGGTAATTGACCAAAATGCTAAATAAGCTATAAGCTTTGTGGATTTCTTGCATAAAAATCTTTTTGGTAGCTGATAAATAAATGGCTTCTTTAAGAAACTAGTAAATAATTTAAACATATAGAATTATTTGGTAAATTAATATGCAAATTATTACCAAAGAGGTTGTATTTTGCTAGTGAATATGTTTTGGACCATGAAGTAGTCCCCAATGGGTATTCAAATGCCATGATGAAGAGTACTGTTACAGCTGTACCTCTGGACAGTTTAATCCATGTTGTATATCCAGCTTGAATACATCTCTTGTGGGTGTGACTGTCTCACTATCTAGTCTTCATCCAAACACACTGATTTCTAAACATGATCCTAACAAAATTGAACAAAAAATCAAACCCAACCTTACAAAAACAAAAGTATACCCCAGGTTCACTATCTCTTATGCAAATGTGTCTATGCTCCATCTTTGTATAGGTGGAACTCCATGTAGCCAAACCTGACCTCTTATTCCTGTCTGAAACTGGTATCGATCCATCTTTCTCAGTGCAGGAACCTGTAATCCCAGGCTACTCATTCTTAATAGTAAAGCATGACTCTCAAAATCACTATGGCCACAAACTCGGTGCCTATATAAGGATGGGGCAGAAACCCCAATGTTTTACACCCTTTGACTCTTCAAATCATTTACTAGTCAGTGTCAACGTCAATGCCAAACAAAAGGCAATCCCTAATATATCGTTCCATTGAACAATTTTTTTGGTACACAACATCGGACAAGTCTTACTAATTTACCCATAGCTGGGGAGCGTAGAAGAGGTGGATTTGTACCTTTCCCAAGGGGATTAGTGCATAAGTGAATATAACTAATGCAACAAGAATTGGAACTTGGCTCTCTGACTAATAATTCTGAGACATTATCCATGACACCACCTGCATATCCAAGCTTACAGCACTTGGAATTCTCAAGTGGTCACCAATCTATGTACTGAACAGGCTTAACATTGCTTAACTTTGGTGATCATACAGGAACTTGTGTTTCAACATGATGTGGCCAGAAGCCATAGCAGTAAAAGTAAAATCAGTGAGCTAAGTTTAAACTCTGGTTGAGTCTGTTGCATTCACTTTCACACTTTCCTTGGGAAGACAGGAATTCATCTCTACTAATTCTTAAGCTATGGATTAAATAATAGGGTAGATTGGGCACTCTAACCTTGGGTAGCAAGTAATTTAAGAGAAGGAAAAATTCTGAAACTTGGGAGAAAAAAACAGGATATCCCTCAAAGAAAGCATGGTAGTTCACAGATAATTAAGAAATGGAATATTTGTAGAGCTATGTTCACGTCAGTTCTGAAAGGATATAACATTAAAAAAAATGTTAAGGAAAACAATATTTCAATGGTGAATATAGCTGGCAAACCAAGTTTAAATTCTACAGAGGTTTTTAAATTTTTAAATTTAATTTGCAATAATGTCCATTAGAAAAGCATGAAACCACTTTTTCCTGTGCTCTGCCTCATCACCAAATAACTTGACAAAATTTTTCATGGTGGCTGGTGAAGAAAAGAGTGGGTGAATGAGCACTTGGTCATGCTACTCTCCTACAACTAACTTATACATCAACACAATAGCAGTAAATCTGTTACTCTGCTAGTTAATTTTGACACAATCCAATTATAACTAGATCTTCATTTATTTTCTTTTTGTTTCAATTCTCTTCTAATTTTCTGCATGCTTACCTGATGAAGCATCAAGACAATAGAATTGTGAAGTGAGAGATTGTAAATTTGAAAGTAGATGGGGAGAAAAAAAAGGAGACATTCAAAGAATAATCAATTATTTTATTGCTAAAGTCTATTTGAATGTTACAAAATGTCTTTTTAAGTAAAAAAACACTCAGAGTCAATCATAATTAATCTTTGTTTAATGATATATTATGGATAATAGAAATAGTAGTGAATTTGGTGGAATAGAACAGTTGTCAATTAATAGGCAACTTGCCAAGACATTCCCATTTTTACTTCTCCAGATATCAGCAAACATTAAATATTTACTTGATATTGTTTAGTGCAAGGATACAGAGAAATCAAAATGGAGGTAAACTCATTATAAGAGGTTTTTTTTTAGATTATGACATGATGTTGGTATTCCTAAGTGAAATCATTAATACAGTAAAATAGAAGGAATCCTCGGAAAGAAAAGAAAAAGTGAAATAGATATTTTAAAACTACACTGAATAGAAAAATGAATTTCATTTTATTAAAAAAAAGAAAATATAAATGTTTTACTTGCCTTTCAGGTAAATTTTTATACTCCACTTGTCTAGAAAAACACAAGAAAAATATTTAAAGGATTTGCATAATTACATCTGAGATGCAAATTTGTTAGCATGAAAAAATGCTATAAATAATAGTAAAAGAAAGCAAAAATAGTGGTTTATCAGCAACGTTATCAGTCCTGATCTGACATCTTTGGCTTCAGTCACTTTCTCAACACTGCAAAGTATCTTTCCTGTATATATTTAATATTTTCATGACAATTGTGCTGATAATTTTTCCTTTTTTGTACCTCAAATTTACAAATTTAAGTGCATCAATGAATTGGCAGCTAGATCTCATCATTTTATTGTTGAAATTACTAAGATAAGATCTATACTAACAGTTTCTTCCTTTATACTTCACACTTGTTGAACTCTCTTCTTGCTTCTTGCTTTCTTGTAAACATTGATCTTCAAAAATTTAAATGCAATGTCATTCATCATTTTCTGTCATTTTGAATTCTGTTCTTTTATTGTCCTTTCATCTTAACAACATTTTCTCAGCTTTTTCACTATCAGTAACCTCTTGCATCATAGTGGCTTTATTGCCTTGCTTGGAATGAAATGATTAAAAAAAACCCTCTTCCACTTTAATATATGATGCACTCTCTCCTAGAAACTGTAACTAAGGTCCACTCAGCATACTTGCAGTATAAATCACAGGTAGGCTCTGTGGGTGTTGAAGAAATACAAAATGTGCCTGAGCAGGTGTTTGTAACAGAGATGGCTAGCTACCCTAGTCAGGCATATTCAGAAATGAGTGACAAGCCATTGGGAAAAATTTTGTATCAGGATCAACATTTCATAAAGTGTGAGGGTTAAACTAATGTAGCATTTTAATTCTTTTATTTACTTGTAGCAGTAAAGTACTAACTCTTTACAAGTGTATTGCCCATATATAGTGTAGACCAATTTCATAAATAGCAAATCTACTTTTGTTTGGCCAGAACATTAATTTACATATTATAAACATTCACTCTATGAGGGTGGACGGAAAAGTTCATAGGCTGACTATGAAGGAATGGCACTAGAGCTGTGAAATCTTACATGCATTAAGTTCAGCTCTCCTTATTGTTTCTTTCCATGTAAACTGACATTTGACTATTCAAAGACATCAAAAGTAACTAGTAGTGACTTCTCTTGAAATTTTGGCATTGTGGTATTATCAAGCACCTGCTGAAAAAGTTTTAGCCTCCAAGGACATTTCATGCTGACATGGTTGCTACATCAGGGGATAACACACCAGCTTCATCAACAGTGCAAAAGTGATCAACTGAATTTAGGAGGGGAACGTAGAGACTTGAAGATGACCCAAGTCTGGATTACCTGCAACTGACACTGTGGAGAAAAACATTGATCATTTTCACCACATGGTGATGAATAACAGCTGATTGACTATAAATCAAATAGCCAGTGGTATTAGCATATCTTGTGAGACAGTTGAGGATATTCTGCACAATGAACTTGGCATGATGAAAGTTTCTGCTCAGTGGATGCTACCTGATCAAAACCACACCAGGCTGATCCCATCACAGGAAAATCTGACATTGTTTGAGGCAGATCCAGTTGGTTTCCTTGAATGTTTCTTAACCCAGTATGAGTGTTAGATTCATCATTTTGAGCCAGAGACAGAGACAATCCATACAGTGGAAACACCCCTCAACATCTACTCCAAAGAAGTCCAAGGTAGTTTCATCTGCAGGGAAGGTGATGACACCAGTTTTTCGGGATGCAAAAAGCTTTGTGTTTATTGGCTATATTCAAAAGGGCCATACCATCAATGGAGAGTACTATGCCAACTTGCTGAGGCAGTTACAAAAGGCTATCAAGACCAAATGCCCAGGAAAACTGATGAAAGGCATCTTATTTCACCAAGACTATGTTCTAGCATATAATTCCTTGGTTCCAATGGCTGATGTGTATGATTGTGGCTTTAAACTGGTTGATCACCCTCCCTATTCTCCTGATTTGGCCACATCTGGCTATCATCTATTCCTCAATATGAAAAAAACACTTATCGCAGTAATGATGACATTATATGTGCTGTTGATGACATTCTTGAACAAAAGGATGAAAGCTTCTTCACCAATGGGATACATGCACTGCAACTGATGAAAGAAGTGTGTGGATTGCAAAGAGGCCTATGTTGAAAAATAAACTTCATTTGGCTACATTCCATGAGAGTATCTTGGTCAGCTTATGAATTTTTCAACTGATCATCACATATATAAAGACACTGGATACATTCATTTCTGGAAGAAATTATAATCTTTATACTCTTTAGATAGCTAAAGACAACTGAATCTAAGCTTTATTGTTTTTGAATAAATCTAATAAATAGTGAAAATAAAAAATGAAACTTAAAACTGGAAAGGTGACATAAATTTTAAAAATAAATTTGCCATTATATTTTCTTTCACAAGAAACAGGTTTTTCTGTAAACTTAAAGCAAAGTTGTCAGATTAGTTTACATGATGTGAATTGGAGTTCAATTGAAAACCCAGCACTGCTTAATTTGAAATGACTTTATTCTCATTAATAATCAAAAAATTGAAAGCAGTGAAATTGAAAATTTAGTAATGCTCAGCTTTCAAAAGTAGACAAATGTAGCAAAACTGAGTGAGGATTCACATTATATTTAAAAATAAAGTATATTCAAGATTTAACTGCAAAAATAGCAGTATACATTTTACAAAAATAAATTTAATATGTATATACTTAAAAAATATTTATAATCCTCATCATTCACATATTATTTATAAAAAAATAACTTACAGTACTGCATGGAAAGCTGTTTTGTCAGGATTAACTTGAACAGAAATAAGATAAAAGTTAATACAATCAAATAGTGTTAGAGTATATATTATTATATTTCATAGTATAATATTCTTAAATTATTCTTAAATTATTCTTATATTATTATTATAGTTCATATATTATTACAATGTTTTATACTGTAGATTAACTTTTTCCAAATTCAACAAATATAGATTTTTTCATCTCATTACTGTACTTTAACTTCTAGTATTTATATAAATTTTGCATATCAACAACTTATATGTATTCTAATATATATATATATATATATATATATATATATATATATATATATAAGGTATATTTAGAAAGCGAGTATTTATCCAAATAAGTCTGATTAAAAACAATCATCAGTCTCTGTCTGTTTCATTTTTTATTGTATTTTTCCAATTTTCAAATAAGCTGTTGAGTATTGTGCTCAAAATTGTGGATAAACTGTCCAAAGTTCATATTTTGTTATTGTTTTATTCAAGTACTTTTGACCACCTCAGTCATTTTCAAGAACCAATGTCGTGTCTGTGTGGTAGTTAAACAAAGGAATCCTAGACACCACATCACTTCTTGAAAGTGACAGAGATGGTTGAAAGTAATTGAAAAAAATGATAACAAAAGATGAACTTTGAACAGTTTATCTACAACACAATACTCAACACCTTATTTGAAATTGGAAAAACACAAATGTGAGAGCAAATGTGGTATTATATGAGTGAATGTAGTATTTAAATAAAATTGCAGGCAGTTTATGAGTGAAGTACAATCATATATTTTTATTTGTTAGTATTTTTGTGATAATTTTATTTTATTTTTATGAAAATCATAGTTGATTATAAAATGTGCATTCAATACTCTTTAATCTTTGAAAAAGTGTAGGGTTAAATTTATCAGAAGCTGTAAAGTGGCTCATTGATACAATAAGTGCATGTGTGTGTCAGCTAACGCATCCACAAAACAGAAAATAAACTGCATACAAGTCAGGTGGGTTTACATTAATAAATTCAAAGCACATGAAAACATAAAGTTATTAAAAGCATGTGAAACAGTTATGACATTTATCAAATTTGCTAGCATACAAGATATATGTTTTAGAAGGGCTTTCTTTTAATACTGTTCATTGCAACACTATTCAACTCCATAGTTTATACCTGTCTTATTAAATATGATAATCAAGAAAAGCTTTGTTAATTTTTTATATAATTGCATTTATTTTCATAAAAAGAAACAAATTGTTTGGTCAAGATCACTCAGAAATTAGTGATAGATTTTATTGTCATTTCAAACATTTTCAACCATTTTGTAGTCATCTTCAGATATTAAAAATGTAGGAGTTATTTGTCATAGTAAGATGAGATGATAAGCACAAACAGATGTCATATTGGCATTTCTCATACAGAACTTTGTTTGGAAAATTTTATTTCAGAAAACATTATTGAAAAAAACCAATGAAAATCATTGCTTACAGAGTCAATGTCTTTGGGACTTGGATGTTTAGTCTATAATATATAGTTTGATATTTGAATACTTTTCTTTTTAAGTTCATCTTATAGCAGAATAAACATGGTCAAATGATGTATTCCAAATATAAGAAGAGTTAAAATTCTAAGTAGATTAAAATAAACCAGAAGTAGTAATATATATATATATATATATATATATATATATATATATATATATATTATATAAATTAATAAATATATTATTATTCTCTCATGGGTAGCTTTGATTTGGAGTTTCATGCTCAACACAATCTTTAGGTAGTGAGTATAGACTGACCATCATATAATTTAAATTTTAATAAAAATATCTGGTTACCACAATGTTGGAGAAATCATATATTATATAGAGATTACAGAGTCTGTCTATATTTCTGAGATGAGATATTATGTACAGTATTTACATTAGTCGGACTATTGTCCTCATCTTTGTCGCCATATTTGTCACAACGTTTCGGCCGTTGTACGCTCCGGCCTTCTTCAGGTGATTGGAATTTCGAACTGAACCCTTTATTTCGATCACTGGGGTAGACTGTCCTCAAGGACACATGGCACAGTGGATAAAGGCGTTGGTTAGATCCAGTGACAGATCCAAAGAAGGTGAGTTCAATTCCTGGTTAAGGCAGTGGAGAACTTTCAGAGGGAACATTAGCAGGAGATAACTGATAACTGACATCCATCAAACATGGCACGTGGAACTAGAACAGTCTACCCCAGTGATCAAAATAACACGTAACAATAAAAAGGGGTTTATTCGGTTGGTAGGTAGGTACAGAAATCGCCTGAGTAGTCTATAACTAGCTCAGCCAAGAACTTCTCCGACTCTGTCTGTCTTTTGACATGCCACTATTTAACGTCTTTGTTTGTAGACAAGTTCATCTTCAAGAGGGGTGGTAGGTTTCCTACACAACACCTCCCCCTTGAGATTAATTCCGGAGGAATTAATATCTTTTCCGTTTGGGATCTGGACTTAAACGTTCCACCCTTGTTCTTTTTCTTTTGCTTGTCCTTCTTTGGACAATTGTTTCAGGCAATGGTGGAGTCGGTATATCAAATAAATCATATAATACCTCCATTGGTTCTTCATTTTTTGTACTTATTTCTTCCATGTTTCTTCTTCTTAATTGGTTTAAATGTCTTTTGTGCGTCCATTTTTTACTTCTTATCATGTACAACATTTTACCAATTCTTTGCGTTACCACTCCATCTTGCCAAAATTCCTTCCCATTTTTGTAATTTTTAAAAAAAACTTTATCTCCCGGCCTGAAATATTTCATATTTTTCTGATGCGTTTTGTTCTGGTAACTCTTTTTTCTTTCCGGCAGCAGCCTATTGAACACCAATTTTTCTAGTAAACATCAGTTCAGCTGGAGACATCCCTGATATTGCGTTTGGATTTGGTGTTATTCTGTATATACTTAAAAACTGCTGTATATTACCATCATCTGTATTAGTACCATTTGTTTTTTTAAGGGCTCCCTTGAACGTATCAACAAACCGTTCAGCCTGCCCATTTGACCTAGGATGGTACAGTGAAGTCATGATGTGGTCAATTCCCAGAGTCTTACAAAACGTCTTAAATTCACTTCCTGTGAATTGAGTTCCATTGTCTGTGACAATTTTTTCTGGTACTCCAAACCGTGCAAACAGTTCTGTAAGAAAACCTTTTGTTACAGAAGCAGTTGGTTTTTTGCACTTAAAAACCTCAGGCCACTTGGAATAGCTATCCACAACTATCAAGTAAAAATTACCATTCATGGGTCCAGCATAATCTATGTGGAATCTGGTCCATGGAACATCTGTTTTTGGCTATGGTGTGTATTTTACTGGCGGTGCTTTCGCTGCCATTTGACACCCTCTACAAGTTTTAACTACCTGTTCAATGTCTTTGTCCATATTTGGCCAATAAACGTAACTCCTCATCAGGGCTTTCATACGTCCAATACCAGGATGCCCCTGATGAAATGCCTTCAAAATCCGCTTTTGTAGTACAACCGGTATCACGACCCTTCCAGCATATAACAGCACTTCATCACATATTGAATATGCTAGTGAAGAAGTTTTATACTTTTCTGAAGTTACAACTTCTTTCATTTTTTTAATAAAAATGTCATTTTCTGATTTTAATTTTATTTCATCTAATGTCACCGGTAATTCTTTTACTGTGTTATGCATTACTTCCACCAATTCATTTTCTGCTTGTAACGACGCTATCACTGTATCTTCTAGCGGTTCCGAAGACGTTGGGATCAGCCTAGATAAACCATCAGCATGGCTTAATTTTTTAGACGATAAAAATTCCATTTTGAAATTATAATTCAACAAAATGGTTCCCCATCGTTGCAAATGGTTTGCCGTATGAGTAGGTATACCCTTCTTCGAACCATAGATTGAAAGCAGCGGGCGATGGTCGGTCTGCAATATAAACCTTCTTCCATGTATGTACTTATGGAATTTTTACAAGCATAGATGATAGCTAAGCTTTCTTTTCTCAATTTGAGAGTACTTCTTTTCTGCAGGTAATAATGTCCTTGATGCATGTGCCACTGGCTTCGTATTGCCGTCTCTGAATTTATGCAAAATTACCGCACCTATTCCGTACTCGCTTGCGTCCGATGCTACTATAATTTCCTGTTTAGGGTCATAATGTGTTAGTGATAATTCCGACGTCAAAATATTCTTTATTTTGTCAAACACACTTCTGACCATTCCCACTTTGCTCCCTTTTTAAGCAATTTATTTAATGGAGCTGTAAGGCTGCACAAATTAGGAATATATATCCCATAATAGTTAGCAAGTCCTAAGAACGCTTGTAACGTTACTACATTTTTGGGAGATGGCATGCTTTTGATCGCTTCTGCCCTCGCCGGATCTGGTCTTCTTCCATCAGAGTCTATTAACTGACCCAAAAACTTAATTTCACTCATAAAAAATTCACATTTTTCAGCTGCAAGTTTGAATCCATATTCTTCAATTTTTTCAAAAACCTTATTAATATGTTCCAAATGTTCATTTCGATCTTTACTTTTTATCAAAACATCATCAAGATATGCAATGGCGAAGTCCAACCCTGCCAGCACAGTGTCCATAATTTGCTGAAAAATACTAGGGGATACTTTCAAACCAAACGGCAAACGGTTAAATTTGTATAAACCCTTGTCTGTATTGATAGTCAACAATTTAGAACATTCCTCTTCCACTTTCACTTGGAGATAGGCATCCGATAAATCCAATTTAGAGAATATTTTTCCTCCACTTAAACTTGCAAAAATGTCTTCTGGTGAAGGCAAAGGATATGTGTGGTCTTTTAAGCAATCATTTAGACCCGTAGAGAAATCGGCACACATCCGAATTTTATTATTCTTTTTCTTAACATATACAACAGGGCAGACCCACTCTGAAAATTCAATGCGTGAAATAACTCCTAAATTTTCAAGCCGTTCCAATTCCTTGTCAGTCTGTTCCAAAACACCAAATGGCACATTTCTTTTTCGCTTGAAAA